AGCAGTGCAATGTGCAAGGCTCAGAGGCACGAGCAGCTCCGCCATGTTGGGCTGGGCAGGGCAAGCAGGCAGTTCCTGTTTTTGACCTAGGAATGTCACAGCTTAGATTATTAAGTGCTTAGTCATTTAAAACTACAAAACAAAAAGTGCTCCTAGGTAGTAAAAAATTACAGATTCACAACAGGACAGATTCAGACATAAAAGACCTCTAAATGGGTCACAGTGTTGGATGAGTGTACGTAGGCTTGGGAGAGAAAAGGAAAGGAATATAGAAAATAAAGTTAATGTCTTTAAAAAAGGGTAAAGTCTTTAAAGAGACAGAGTAAAGATAGTTATAGATTAAAAGAAATAAAGAAAAATAAGCCACGTAAAAATGAAAAATTCACAGAGAATTTGGATTCTTTATATTGTGTTTTCTTTAAAATTTTTGACTGTGAAGGAGCTAAGTACAGAGAGACATTTTATTATATGGGCTGCCAAGCTAAACCAGAATGGATATAAAGGTATTATGATTTCAGAATTTGGGTCTAAAAATATGATGCTTTGAAAAAGAGGGTCTTCTTTTGTTTTCACAGAGGATGAGACCCTGTGGATTGCTTCTATCCTAATATGGTATGATAGACCATGCCCGCTACACCTGATGAAAGGACCAACAGGGCGTTAGTTCTGTGTCCTTGTGCAGGAGCAGACTGGGCCAGCTCCAGTCTGGGGGCTGGAGCAAGGGCCTCAAAGGAATTAGGATTAGGGAACCCAGCTTTCCTCACTGAAGGGCTGTGGTTATCAGTCACAGGTAGCTGTACCTGACGTATCCCGTGTTTTCCTTGCCAACATTGTCTGCTTACCCTGGTCCATTCTATCCCTGCAAATAATAAATAAAATGTTGTACTTTTTAATAAACTTTATTGGCATAAGGGCCCATTATGGACCATATTCCTGTAGGTTTGGGTCCGACCCTCAGAGAGCATCTTTAGGGTCTATAATGATTTCAGCGTTTAACATTTTATAAGTGTCTTAATGAAACACTTAAATGTCTATTGCCAAGATTTGTCACCATGTTCGTCTGAAAGAGAAAATGGTCTTCATCTTTGGAAGGTGGAAGGTGGTAAGCAATCTGTGACTCATGCTCAGTAGGAGACCAGCCTTGAACAGCTGCAAGGAGGGGATGGGAGAAATGTGCTCCCCTGTTGATAGCGAGCTAGGGAGGCGAGGAGAGCTAGAGAAGGAACAGCTTGAAGGGATGGATGAGAAAGGTAAGGAGTGTCCATGTTGGAAGGTCAGCCAATGGCTGGACAGTGTGTGTAAGAGGTTGACCATGTGGAAGTGATTTCCCACCTGTCCCTTGTTCTCTCTCACTCCGGAGCCCCTGAGATGATGTGACCATCCAATACCATAGAAAGGACTATGTTCAACACCTGGTCAACACACATAAGGCAGAAAGAGCCCCACAGCAGGAATCTGAAGACAGAGGAACATGACCAATATGAGCCCTTGGGAGCTTTCACTGGGAAAGTATCCTTTCCCTTCCCCAGGGCCATCCTACCTACATCTCCCCAGGCAAGCAGACCCCGGCTTGCACAAATACCAGGTACATCTTTATGTAATTCTATTAGAGATGCACTCAAGAAATTGATGTTGAAAAAGGACACTAAGAGAGACATACATGGATCTAATATACATGGGAAGGAGAAAAAGACAAGATCTCCTGAGTAAATTGGGAGTGTGGGGATCAAGGGAGAGGGTAGAAGGGGAGGAGGGAGGAAGGGAGGGGAGTGGATAAAGATATATAGCTCAATAAAAACAATTTTAAAAAAGAAAAAAATAAATTGGTGTTGAAAGTTTTGTTTTTTATTATTTTATGAGTGTTCTGAGACCTCTGATTCTGATCCAGCCTCCAACCCTGACAGTGTGACTTTGCCTAATGAGTAGAAAAGCTGTAAGTTTGGTTTTATAACAGGGTCTTAGAGGTTGCTCTTGCTAAACCACCACTTCACTCGGACCTGCAGCCGCCCAGTGTGGAACATACTTCACCCTTATTTAGTGACAGCACTCACAGCTTCCCTAGAATGGTGGCTACGATCTACCAGACCACTTTGCCCAAATCTGGTGGGTTTGCCTGCTTCTTTCTCCTCCCCTCAACTCTGTGAATTCCTGTGGTTTAAATGTGAAAATTTCCCCCATAAGTTTGTGTGTTTGGACACTTAGTTCCCAGCTAAATGTGTCTGAGGAGGTTGTGGAAACTTCAGGACATGGGCTCTGGCTAGCAGAGGTGTATCATTGGGGATGAGCCTTTGAGGGCCCAGTTCCTAGTTACACTCTCTATCTTGTCCATAAAGATATAAAAAACCCACTCTTATGCACTTTGGCCCTCAGGGACAAGGCCACTCCCATCACCACACCTCCCTTGCCACTATGGACTGGTGCTAGTGTACTGGACTTTACTGGACTTGGTCTTCATGCTGGAATAAAGACCACAGCAGTTTTTACACAGATGCTGGGCAAGGGTAAAGGCCAGGCCTGGGTCAGACACTAGGTCATTAGAATTCCACTCAGCAAATAGAAGAACACCATAAGGACTTTTAAAAAGACCACTTGTCACCTCCTCCTTCCCCAGCACTTCCTACCTTGGGAGAACATAGATGAGATGATGTGGGGTCCCCTCTGTATGCTGTGAATATGTTTTATTACCATTGGTTAATAAAGAAGCTCCTTTGGCCTATGGCAGGGCAGAACATAGGTAGGTGGGAAAACTAAACTGAATGCATGGAGAAAGAAGGCAGAGTCAGGGAGATACCATGTAGCTGCCGGAGGAGAAATACGCCAGAACCTTACCGATTGACCACAGCTTTGTGATGATACATTGATTAATAGAAATGGGTTAATTTAAGATGTAAGAGTTGCTTAATAAGAAGCCTTAGCTAATAGGCCAAGCAGTTTGCAATTAATATAGTTTTGTATAATTATTTGGGTCTGGGTGGCAGGGAAACATAAACACAATCTCCATTTACACATAGGTATCCAATAGGAATGTTCCATCACCAATGACCTGGGGTTTGTCCTAGTGTCTTCCTGGTGCGGGAGAATTGTCTGTATTCTGTCATATTTTAAATAAATGCTGATTGGCCAGGCAGGAAGTATAGGTGGGAAAACCAGACAGAAAGTAGAGGTGGAGCAAAGAGACTAGGAATATTCTGGAAAGCAGGAAGCTCCCTCCGGCACTCCTGCGCAGACCACCGAAGAGGCAGGCTGTAACCTGCCCAGCTGAGAAAGGTACTGAGCTGTGTGGCTAAGGTAGATAAGGATAATGGGGTAACATAAGTTATAAGAGCTAATAAGTAGCCTGACCTAATGGGCCAATCAGTTTATAACCTAATGTAGACGCCGTGTGATTTTCTTTGGGACTTGCCAGCTGTGGGGTACCAGGCGGGACAGAAACCCCAATAAGCCAGCCCTCATGTTATATCTTCCCATGGTACAGCCAAGGTCAATGAGCAATAGACAGCAGACGTATTTAGAAAGCATAAAGGTTAAGCTGTGGAGAAGAACAGTTTTATGCCTAAGTCCAGAAACTAACCCAGTGTCCAGGGTGTAGCTTAGTGGGAGAAAGTTTACCTAGCATGCATGAGGTCCTGGGTTCCGTCTCTTTCACAAGAGAAAGAGGAGGGAAAAAGAGAAATAAACAAAGGCCTAAGTCACCCAGCTGGGTTCCAGGTGATGCACCGCCGGCTGTATGACAAGGGGCAGAAGCAGAGCAGATGTACCAGCAAGATGTGCTGGCCCCATTCACAGTGGTGGGGCAAGGGCTCTTTGAGGTTGGATGTGAAAGGAACCTGTTCTCTCTCTCTCTCTCTCTCTCTCTCTCTCTCTCTCTCTCTCTCTCCCCCCCCCTCTCTCTCTCTCTCTCTCTCTCACACACACACACACACACACACACACAGAGGACCATCAAGAGACCTGAAGAGTGATGTCTTAAGCACCAAGACTTCTACTTAGGCCTTTTTATATGGAATCTCTGTGGATGAAAAAGGTCTAAAGTACGACGCCTCTTCACCTTATTAAAGGCAGTAGACAGACAGTGTTGCGATGTTTTCATGTCTCTGTCTCTGGGAGTCCAGGATGGAGGGACCTGAAGCTGTCTTGCCCTTGGGCTTATTACAACACATGTAATTATTCCTTCACCAATGGCTTCATGCCACCTGATGACTTCTGAGCCTTGCAGATTTGGTCTTTGCTGGCAGACTGTTAGCTGCCATTTCTTGTTTTACCCAGAACCTGCTACTGCCCTTCATCTATTAGAAATCAGACCCATGCTCACTAGAGCTGACTATAAGGTTAAATACCATGAGTGACTTGCCTTTTGCAAAATAGCCTTTGAGGCATGGTTTACAGCATCTATTTCTGTGGCTCAAAAGTCATTCTCCACCCATCACCCCAGTCCTTGGCTTTCAGGGACCAAGGGACCATTCTAGAAAGTGGTCAGAGCAAGTAAAAGTGAGTTTCAACAAGCTTTCTCTCCCTTGGTGAGCTTTCAGGGTCTTTGTGAACTTTGCAGTTGAGTATGGGTTTCTTAGTTGCCATGGGAACACCTTCAGAGGGAACAACAGGGCCTGTCTCTAGTTAGAGTGAGAAGTTGAAGCATATCTGAGTTCTAACCAACTGGTTCCAACTCAGACCTTTTCCAAATGCAGGGGGAAAAGCATGAGACTAAGAAAGAGAGGTGCTGTAGCCTTCGTTGCTGAGGCATGACTTCTGGGTGCCATCTTTCATGCTTTTTGGGGGTAAGAAGTATGGGCCTGGATCAGAAGACTAGACCCTCACCCAGGTGGACAAGTAGGTCCTCCCTGTGCTAGACGGTGTGTGCAATTTTTGGGTTCCACCCTAGCACCAAACACAGAGTGACTTTACACAGATCCCAAGCTCCAGAATTACTAGCCCCTTAGTTCTGATTACAAACACACTCCAATCCTAAATGTGATGAATTTGTAATTAAGATACACTAAGTCTAAATCCAAGAAGTCTTTTACTTTGCCTTGAAAAATATTTCATGATGTTTATTTTTTTCCAATGTTCAAAATATGCAGATGAGGAAATGCTGATGGTACTTTAAAAAAGTCTCACACCTGAATCAGATGTTTCTAGAACAATCCACCCACCAGAGACAAAAAAAAATGCAACAGATCAGAGCCACAGACCAAAGGACCATCCAGGACAGTGGTTTCCCCAAGTGGAGTCCCTAGGTCACCTTCAGCATGTCCCAGGATACCAAATGAGCTTGAAGCCCTAGGAGCCCAGGTCCCATTCCAGATAAACACACCACATAGAAATATCATGGAGTAGGGTCCAGGAATTTCAGAAATCTCTTCAGAAGACCCCTGTGAGACAGGATCAAGATCACTGCCTTGCACAGCATGATGGCGCTCAACCACTATGCTGGGAACCACTTGAACATCTTCGAGGGACCCTGGGAAACGTCCTCTAGTCTACCGTGTTTGTCTCTGGAAGACGAGGGCACGACAGCAGGACCACTTACTACAGAGCTCCAGGAAATCCGAATGTGCACAAGGGTTGACAGCCACAGTTCGGGAGCAGACAGAAAGCCTACCCCAAAATTGTTGCATGGCCTCAGGCCAAAGAACCATCTCCTGGCTAGGAGGAGGCAGTCACTGATTTCTGGAAGTTGTCGTCAAGTTAGGTGATGACTGTGGCTATTTTTCCTTTTGTCTTTGAAATGGGAAAAAATGTCTACAAGAGATCATGCAAGAGAAAATAGGAACAGACCAGCGAACCAGTCACAAGCAAGACAGCCGAGCTCACTGGCAAAGCAAGCTCAAGTCTGCACTTGCTACCAGCAAAGGGGCTCAAATCATCAGACAAACACTATATGGTTCCGTTTAGGTGAGAGTATCAGAGCAGCCAGATTCAGAGAGACAAGTGCAGATTGTGAGGGGCAGGAAGCGGGGCCCATTAGCATGTCACAGGGTTCGAGCTTTCATTTTATAGAATGAGCAGTCTGGAGGTTAGTAACACAGTGCAAATGTACTTGAATTTTGCTTAAATTCACTTTTAAAATTTAAGACACGCTCCCTATACCCCAGGCTGGCCTTGAACTTGCTATGTAGCCCAGACTAGACTTAAACTCCTGGTCATCCTGCCTCTGATTCCCGAACGCTGCAACTGCGGGTCCCAGGATTACAGGCACCAGTCATGAATGTTCTAACACCACTGTGTGGCTTTGTGTCAGTGCCAGGGCCACAAAGATGAGCTTGGTTCCAAGCCTTCCCCCAGAGAAAAGACAAGCCATCCACTGAGAGTCTTGGGACTCTTAACTGTGCATTCTGAGGGAATCCTGAGGGATATCCCCATGCTGGTTGACACAGACGCACAGAGGGCAGAGTGGGTGGCCCACTCCATAGAGGGGATGTAGCAGGAGTCATACCCTGAAATAATTTGCAGAAGTGACCAGATAAGAAGAGGGGGAAGGGGCAGAGGAGTGGGACCATTCCAGGCATCTGAACCTCTTGCACAAAAGCACAGGACTAACAGAAGAAGGGAGGCCCACAGAGGCAGGAGGGTCTCTAGAAAGAGGGAGAGCCTGTTTGTGGCATGGCCTGTATGGTTTGACTGAAAACAGACAAACAAAACAAAAACTTGGACTGTGTGGTACCAGCAGCAATGGGTCTCACAAAAGGTGTTTTGGGATGCTAATTCTTAGAATAAATGAGGATCCCTCAAAAAAGCCCAAATTATAGCAGCCGCAAAAGCAAGTGCAGGGAGGGAATGAATGCCATGGATATTTGTGCTGAAATTGAGAACCAACAAGCAGTGTGGAGAAGAAAGATGTCTGGGCAGAGAGAGCCTGTGCTTATCCAATGTCTGCACTGGTAACTGTGCCAAGCATTGTGCAACACCATTAAACTTACTCCTGGAAACACCAATGGCTGAGGTTCTTGTCTGTTTTAGATGTGGAATCCGAGCCTCCAGCAGCTTCAGAGACTCCCCAAGGTCACAAATCTACTAAACAATGGAAGAGTCTCTGAGTCCAGTCTCTTCTACCTGTGTCAGTGGAGGACAGACAGGCTGAGGTCTGAGATGCCACGCAGAGGCAGATGCTCGGAAGGCCCCAGCGGACATGCTTCTGTGCTCCTGGGGAGGGCTAGCCTGAGGTGAGAACAGCAAGGATTGGTGGCTCTCAGGAGATACAGTTGCAGCAGGAGTGCTGCTGTTGAGAAAGCCCCAGAAGGTGTTGCAGAGAATGAAGGATGGGGAACGTGCCGAGTGACATTGCGAGACTGGGCCGTATCAGGAAGAAACAGAGCAGGAAAGAACTTGAGGACCTGGAGCCAACCTTGTCAAATATAACATGGCTGACAAGGATGAGACCTAAGGCAGAGCACCTTCTTTGGCAAAGGCTTGCTGCTCACCTTCAGGGTTCAGGTTTGACCTCTTTCTCGTCCTTCCCCTTCTTCTCCTCTCCCTGATAACTGGGAACCTGGCCCTGAGAGTCGTCTACACATTGAGCTCCTGTGAGTGTTTGAGAAGGGTTTCTTTTAGCATCAGTGTGTCCACATGATGGCGAGTGTCAGGGGGCTTCTTCACCCATCATGTATCCCCTGGCACAATGGGTGTACAGTAATACATGGCTGGAACCGATGGGCAAGCCCTGCAGCCTCTGTTTTCTTCCCAGACTCAGCGACATCTAGTGTTGTTTATGCCTCTCTGAGGCTGGGCAGAGAAGTTGTCACAGCAGTATCAGAAGGTTCCAGAAGCCAGCCTGACCTTGAGCCTCCTCCCTTCTGCCTGCCTAAGCACTGAGTCACCGACTTGCTGCTGCTGCTGCTGTTGCTTTACTATCTTTCAAGACTGGAACTGCATTTAGCACAGAGGAAGACACAACAGCTGAACAGCTACTTGGTTCATGGGGAATTGCTGACCTTAAATCAGAATTTAACTGGTGGTCTGCATTGTGGGACAGGATGGGGCAGAGAAGTTCCAGCATCAATGTCTAAGTCTCTCTGGACCTTTGATAAATGCTACACCTACTGACTAAGGCAGAAAGCATATAGCCTGGAAGTCAGGGGACTGGGTGAGGCTCAGGGGAACCTCTAACTTGCCATGTGCCCTGGGGCGAGTTAAATAAATAAATTAAATAAATAAAACAACTCATGTTGTTATTTAACATCGACCCTTTCCAGGCATCTTTCCTTGCTCCTTCTTTTCCAGGGCAACGGTGCACCAGGCATAAAGACTGTTATAGAGGTCGGGGCTGGAAAGAGGCTCTGGCAAGCAGCCCTGGTTTGGAGTGCAGTCTGTGGAGCTCCGCAGAACCCTCCCACCCTCCCCTGGAGGCCTGGCCATGAGCAAGTGCCCAAACCACTAAGTCTCAGCCCTTCACCTATACCCCAATAGCCTCTTTACCTGAAGGGGTCTTGGAGCGATGGTGGGATACTGTGACGGGGAAAGTGGCCGGTGCAGGGCTACCCAGGAGGGCGCGACGACACAGTAGCTTTCATAATAAGGACCACTTACTTAGATCCACACATCCTGGATGTCCCCCAGCAGTCACTGGAGAGACCCCACGAGTCCTTTCTCAGCCTCTAATTGAAGAGATAAGGAAACTGACACTCTGAGGGACAGGAGGAATCTGTCTTGAAATCCAGAGGCAGAAGGACCACTATACGCCAGGAGGATGTCCTAACCCCCTCATGCATGGGCATGGGGAGATCTGGATGAGCCATCTCCAGCTCCTATGGGGGCTCCGGCTAGGGCAGGTTCTGAGCAACCTCAAGCAAGGGAGACCCTGATATCTGGCCAGGCTGTTGCCCACCTGCAGTACCCTATTCCCTGGGTAGAGGGCTTTGTCCCTGGCAGACAGTCTGACGGCTGGTGTCACTTCTTACTAGTGGGACAAACCTGTCTTTATGAAACCTTCTAATTCTGACACTCCATGGTTTTAAGAACTGGATTCAGTTAGGTGTGGACTCGGTTAACTTGGATCATTCTTAGAACTCCCTCCTTGGCAGAAGCAGCCAGAGCCCAGGAAGTCATAAGCACATCTGCCTTGTCCTTGTCCACTGCTCCCGGCCCATCCACGTGTGCTGCCCTGAGTGCTTCTGCAGCTGCAGCTGCTCCAGGACCTCACATCCTTGCAGACTAAGGTTCGGGTCCTCCTGGGGGCCTCACAGTTGAAACTGGGTGTGGGATGAGCTCCAGGCACCTACAGGCCAGAGTCCAGAGGAAGAAGGCTCAGAAAATAATCAGAGGAGAGAGCTCAAGTGGGCCAGAAGCCTCAGGGCCAGCTTGCTCCTCAGCGGGGCCTGTTCTGGCACCTACAAAGTGAGGTTGGGTGGAGGGCCTGGGTGTGATTTTCTCATAGCTGCTCCTCAGAGTGGCATGCCGGGCTGAAGTGTCGATGTGCTCTGTCTGCTCCTCTGCAGAAGACAGAGGTGACACCTCCATCAGGGCATCGTCCCCAACCCAAACACGGACCAGATCAGAACAGGCTTCTCTAGAAATATCTAAAGAAGGGAGGGAAGAAAGTCAGGATGGGACAGCAAGAGGAAGGAGAGGGGAAAAGACAGAAGGAGGGCATTCAGGCTAAAGTCTTCCCCACACAATCCACAATTCCACAGGCAATAATCCACCAGCAGTGACAATGGGCACTATCACATTTAGGGTAAAAACACATCAGAGGAAGCAACTGGAAGGAGTTCCAGATATGGATGGCATGTGAACCTTTCAGCCTGGGAACAGCTGGGTCCCCTAACCCCAGGCCTGGTGAATCCCTGTGTCTGAAAACGGCAGGCATGAGCCTTATACGTGCCATCTTCCCAACAGAAACAGCAGGGACATTGATGTCAAAGTCCCAGTTAGCTGCCATCCGCCAGGCTCACGTGAGGAGGAGCTTTCCAGCTGACACCTTCCTATTCAGGAACACAGTTTAACAAGATTCTGCAGTATTTGGGGACATAGAGAGGAACAGATCTTTATAAATAACTCCTGATTAAAATGGAGCTGAAAATAGGGAGACAGAACAGGAAGCAAATTGCTAAGCACTTATTGAGTCGATAGCATTGGCTTGGAGATCTTAGTGCAAATGGCTGGTCTGGTTTATTTCCTTCTTGTCAAAGGTTAAATGCTGGAACCTAGAGGCACCGAGGCTGTGTGTGTCCAAGGGCTATTTTTAAGAGGTGGATGGCTCTTGGCTACTGGAGTCTTGGGGTGATGCTAACACAGGCCTTGATGAGCTATCCCTGAAGCATTTGAAGTTCAGCCAGGTAGACCAGGATGCTTGGCCACTGTTTGTTCCCTAGAAGGGCTAGCCTCTGAGCCCTGAGATTCTAGATGGTGATTCATGGCTGAGTCTCTGGTATGAAACTTGGGCAGCCAAATGTCCAAACGAGACCTGGACTGTGCTCTCTCCTGTAAAGGGAATGGCTCACCTGCAAGTCTGTTCTCCGCAGGGCCTGACTTAGCTACAAACAGGCCACCACAAATGTGTTCTCTGGGAAGCTGAAACTGAGTGGATGTGTGCTTATGAGGCCCCGACCTTGGAGAGAGGCCCAGGAGCTAAATGGAGGCACAGGATGGAGGCTCAGGACAGAGCTGACGTTGCATGGGTTCTGTCCCTGACTCCCTCCCCAGGATCCAAAGACAAACCCTAAATCCTTAGGGAGCAACAATGGCAGGGCCAGGGAACCCTGAAGGGAGGCGGATGGGAGCTGAGACGCCCGTGATGGGCCTGTCAGCCGTAATTGCAGGTGCCTGTGTGTACTTGGAGGATGCCACGGCTGTGCAGGTGAAGGAAGGCAAAGATCTCAGAGGGCATGGCGTGGAAGCCGGGTTTGGGCTTGACGTTGTCGTAGTAGTGGTGCATGATGTGAAAGCCTGAGGGGTTCATGGGGAAGGCCCAGAAGCCAAACAGGTGCACCTCCTCACAGAGCTCCAGCGCCGCGGTGACTAGGATGAGGCCGCTGCTGATGCGCTTTGCGCGCACGCCCAGGTTGAGCCAATAGCGCGAAACGCTTAACAGGTATAGCGGGTGGAAGAAGTAGACCTGCTGCGGTGACCCGAAGTCATCCAGCAGGTACTTGACACGGAAGGACACAAGGGTGTTGCGTATGGTGTAGAAGGCCGGCAGCAGCACCGAGGCGTTCTTGTACATCTGCAGCACCCTGAAGAAGGGCCTCCGCCACTTCTCCAGCTTGTGGAACCTACAGGGTGGCAGAGTGGGCAGCGGTAAGCTCTGTGCATCCTCGCAGCCCACCCTCCCCGCCTCATCCCCTGCTCCAGCCCCAACCTACCCCACCCTCTCACCTCACCCTAACACCCCCTCCCCACCTCTCAACTCCCACGTTTCACCCCTCCCATCCCAGCTCATAGAGCTGCCTAGCTTCCCCTCCTCTGCTTCCCTTCCTACCTTTACATATTTATTATTTGTTTGTTTGTTTATTAATGGAGGGGGCACATGCCATAGAGCATGCTTGCAGAAGTCAGAGGATAACCTGACAGAACTGGCCCTCTCCTTACATCATGTGGGCCCTTGTTGTGGAATAATCTTTTTGCACACTGTGAAGTAGTATCACTCTGATTGGTTTAATAAAAAACTGGATGGCCAATAGTTAGGTAGGATTTCCAGGCACAGAGGATGCTGGGAAGAAGAAGAGCGAAGTCACAAGGAGAGGTGGAGGAAGTATGACATGTTAGAGATGAGATAACAAGCCACAAGCCTCAGGGCAGTACAAAGATTAATACAAACGGTTAATTTAAGTTATAAGAGCTAACTAAAAACAAACCTAAGCTATCAGCTGAGCTTTCATAATTAATAGTAAGTCTCCATGTTGTGACTTGGGAGCTGGCTGTCGGGACAGAGAAAGACTTGCTACAAACGCCACCCAGCGTGGGGTACACATGTCCACACGAGACCTCAGAAAGCTTTAAAAAATGTTCCAAACATAAAAAAAAAAAAACAGCCAAACACAGCTTCCTGGTCCTGCAGTCTCTTGTGCAGGCCATGGTAAAGAGAAACATCTCCTAGCCGCTGCCTGTGGGCTCAAGCCACCAGCACCCCATGAGCTGAGCTGCGTGCTGGTTGAAGTTTAGCTCATGTAGACACAAAAGGTTACAGATGCGCAGTAAGGCAGATCCAGACAGGAAGTAAACCTCCAAACAAGTTACAGTGTGTTTTTAAAAAATGTGTTTAGTCTTTAAAAAAAAAAGAAAAGAAAATAGGTAATAGGTATAAATAGTCATAAAAATAGTTTATAAATAATAAGATAAAATCTTTGAAGAAAAAATAAAATAATGTAAAAAGGAGACCCATATAAAGATGGAAGATACACAGTGGTCTGGATCCTGTATAGTGTTGTGCTGACTTTAAAGTTTTTGAGTGTTGATGTGCAAACAATAGCTGCTGAGAGACACTGGATCATAAAAACTATAAAATTAAACCAATCTATATAGTCTTAAAATGTCTTAACTTCAAACTGGAAGTTAAAAAAATATGCTACGTTAGGGAAGAGGTTATGCTTTTGCTTCTACAGAAAATAAAAGGCTGTGGATTCCTTCAAGGTTGATAGAGACCAGGTTTGATCAGGGAAGATTCCCTAAAATCCTGGCCACAAATATAAAGAAATAAACCTAGAAAAACTATAAGATAGGTCACATATATTTTACCAGCTCAAACATAAAGAAATAAACCTAGAAAAACTATAAGACAGGTCACATATATTTTACCAACTCAAACATAAAACAAAAAAAAATCATCTTTGGCTGGCTTGTATACAATACACAGTCCATGGCTGCGTTAATGCAGTTACATATGTTACCTTTGAAAGTCTATGTGTTTTCAGAACAAGGGGCCCAGACAGCACTGAAAACAGGTGACCCAGGCAATCCGGCCTTTCAGAATGCCTCTGTTATAGTTTCCTCAGAGTTCTGCATCCAGAACAGCTTCAAGGCTGCTGGCTGAGATGGTCCAGTCTCACAGACTCTCCTAGCCAGGGTTTCAGATAAGCCTTGTGCTTTCTCATTGCACAGAGACTGGACAACAAATGCTACAACTAATCTTCCCAGGACTTGATCATTATCTCAATTTTCTCAGGTTCCCTAAAGAAACCTTCATCCCCAGACAACAAGAAGCAGTCTAGAGAACACAATATCCATATTCCCAAGAGGTGGGTTGGGTGGTTTTTGGTAATTAGATGGGTTATGGATGTGTGTTATTGTTTAGGAAGGATATAGGAATATAGGATAAAAGACAACAATTAACCTCAAATATTTTACATTGGTATATATTTACATTTATATAGGATAAAAGACAACAATTAACCTCAAATATTTTACATTGGTATGGGTTTTGGTATATTGATACAAATTTAAAGTTATTTTTGTTATACTGAATGTATGTTTCTACTCTTGTTTGGGATATTGTATTTATGCAGCTTGTTTAAAAATGTAATGTATAATTTTAAAAATACAAGTTAGTAGTTAGTCATCTATAGTAATCAAACTTATAGTCATATTAGTATATTTTCAAAGTTAAACAGATATATTTTAAATAGATTGCTTTCAAATACTTCAAAGACCTAAAGGATATGACATTCAAGATGTTTTAATAACTTGAGACTTTTTATGATTGTGAGACATGTCTGCTCCTGGCAGCACCAATCTACTTCAGAAAAGGATAATGAACATTGAAGAACCTCCAATTGGAGTTTACTTTCTTTGTGGCAAAAGCTAGCCATCTGGGCAAGAAATTGCCCTTGCATTGACTGCTAACAGCCAATCCAACCTAGACAAACAGGACACACAAAAAAGGCAATGCTGAACTTTTCCAAGACATGTTAAGTCAGTCCTTCAAGATTCCTGATTTACAGAAAAGTCTGTCAGACATTCTAGATTCGTAGATTGAAGGTGGACACCCCAGTGTTACAGAAGAACCTTGTGTGACTGTTCAAGGCAGAGAGATACCTCTGTCTTTTTGGAAGTGGTTTGCATCGCAAGTCCCGTTTACTCAGGTAATATTATATCCTTTGGGGTCTTTGATGGAATTGAAGACTAGATAGTTATAGTTATAGTTTCCTTTAATTATGATAGAAGAGAAGATAAATTAGGTACAAAACTTTGGACTCATCAAGAGAGGATAGATAATGGAGTGTTTTCTCTAGATTTGCCAAATAAAAATGGACTGGGCATCATAAACATAATTCTTACTTGATAATTGTTCTTATTGTATATAGTTTTACTATGTTAGAGTTAAAGCCTTTCCTTTTTATTTAGACAAAAAGGTAAAATGTTGTAAAATAATCTTTTTGTACATTGTGAAAAAGTGTCACTCTTACTGGTTTAATAGAAAGCTAAATGACCAACAGCTAGGCAGGATTTCCAGGCACAGAGGATGCTGGGAAGAAGATGGGTGGAGTCATGAGGAGGTGCAAAGGAAACATAACATGTTGGAGATGAGGTCACAAACCATGAGCCTTGGGGCAGCACATAGGTTAATACAAATGGATTCATTTGAGTTATAAGAGCTAAAAACAAGCCTAAGCTATCAACTGAGTTTTCGTAATTAATAATAAATTGTAATTTAGAAGCTGACTGGAAGGACAGAGGAAGATTCACTACAAGCCCTGGAGTTTGAACTCAGGCTGTCAACACGAACAAGAAGAGCCTTTGACCCCCTGAGCCATCAGATGGCTCTCGAAGATGGTATTTTTTGATAAATGGGCACAGGAAAGGAGGCAATGTGGACTGAATAACTAGTGTGGGGCTCTGGGGAGACAGTGGGCTCAAGTCAGAGGATCAGGGCAGACAAGGAAGGCACAGAGGCTGTGCCTCCTAGTGGAGCCTCACACTACTCCCCTGTTGTTCGCCCTAAGACTGGGAGTGACCATCTGACCCAGCCTTCTGGCCTGGCTAGGCCTCTCCTTGGTATCTTGGCTTCTACCTACACACCCTTTCCAGTGACCATCTGTCCCTCTGCGGTTCTCTCTGCTCTCCGAAGGCTCTTGGCTATTGGCATCTGATGCAGTTTGGTGACTCCTCCCCTTCTCCTGTCCCTCTTACTCACCCCTCCAGCCAGGCTGATGATGTGCAACATTGGGGTTTCAACACACTAGTTCCTGCAGACCCCTCAGGCAGACCCACAGAGGGCCGTCAAGTGAGATCTAAGACCTTTGCATGATCAAACCTCCTACCTGGGCATGGACACGGCCTGTCCCCAGCCCCCCTGAAAGGCCGCTTTCCACCTCTAGGTAACAACTGCTCAGACCTACACTGCCCAAAGAAACCCGATGCAGGCCCCATGTATTGAATTAACCAGAAATGAGGAAAGTTATTAAAAATAATGTTCATATTTTACTTAATGAAATATTAAAATACTATCATTTTAGCCTGTGATTAATGTAAAAATCAATGCGATGTGTTAAGTTTCTTTGACACCCGATGAGCGCTTCATGTAGACAGTTGGCCCATCTCAGTCAGGACCAACCATGTTCCCAGTGCCCAGTGGTTGTAAATGACTGGTGACCACTAACAAGGAGTGCAGGTCTAGAAAGAGGACCACTGACCTGTCAATGATGATGCTGGGGTTCACGGTGACTACATCTGTCTTCTCCCCCACATCTGTGGCATACTCCCCTGAAATAGGGGGCAGGTTGCACCTGCAGAGAGACAGCCTCACATAGTTAGGTTGTCAGCCATCTTCCGGTGACTGGGAGGTGGGAGGGGAAAGAAAGGATATGGTACAAGTCAGAGAGGCCACCAGTTGGGCAGAACAGCTATGGCTGACTAAAGCAGAGGTCCTTCTGCCCTTTATCAGAAAGGAAGAGCAGGAAAAAAAAAAAGAAAGAAAAACCCTCCAATCTTTGGTCTCAATGAAGTTACAACCATGGAGATATTGAAACTACCACTGAAAACTGTCCTTGAAATCTGTGGTCATCCCTGGGTCTTTAGGAAGGTATGGCATTAAGAAGAGAGATACAGGAGCATCCCCTTGTCTGGGGACTCAAGGTTTCTCTGAGAAAGCGTGGATGAGCTAAGGGCAGGAATTAGCAAAAGTCTGCTGGCAGAAGGATCAAATAACCTGTGAGATATTCAAAGATACAAGGTTGCAGAAGGGCGTGCAGTATGACCTGTAGAAAGCCCCTGAGGTAGGAATGTGGGGTCACCAAGGCAACAAAACCCTAATCTCTAAAACTGGGTAACAGGAGCCTTAATTGGCAGAAGGGACACTGCAGCTGAGAATACGCTAAGGATCCTGAGAAGGGAAGGCCATTCTGGATTATCCAGATGGTCCAGGGAGATCACAAGAGCCTTTGCAAAGAAAACGTGATGGCAAGGAAGGTGTTTTAGAAAAAACAAATCCTCACAGGGGCTCGGTTGCTTGGGTTTTTATTAATTCCCGACGTAGTCAAGTTGACAACCAAGAATCCACATCACAAAAGGAGACAGGAAGCACGTAAGGTGGTGTGGGGGCATGTGATGTCAATCCAGCACACAGGAGGCTGGGCAAAAAGGTGGCAGTTTGAAACCAGCCTGGGCTACTAAGTGAGAACTTGTCTTTTAAAAAAGAAGGGAGAGAGGGAGGACGGGAAGATTGGGGAGGGGGCAGTGACAATAGAAGAGAGAAAGAGAGTAGAAGATGCTACGGTGCTGGCAGCTATGAGCCAAGGAATGCAAGCAGTGTCTACAGCTGCCCTAGAGAATTCAGGAAGAGACGAGGTCCTGCTGGCACCTTAACTGCACCCCAGAGTGTGTGACTTTAAACCCTGTCTGTTCCAAGCCACTGGCTTCCTGGTAATTTGTCATGGTAGCAGGGAGAAATCCCTATACCCCCAAATAAGGCAAACGGAACAATAAAGTATCTATGGTTCCAGTCTCCATAAGACAGACAATCTAGTTGCCAGGTGCCAAATGTCCCCTGAGAGTGACACCAAGTTCTTTAGGAGGGGGGAGGTGAGGGCATCCCAGAAGAGAAATGGTGGCCAGAGCAGCTAGTGCTCTCCGCTGTTGAGCCGTCTCTCCAGCCTTTGAGGTTCTCATTTTCAATTCATTTTCCCTGCCTGGGATGACGTGGAAAGTAAGGATCCCCGCGTGGAAACAGGTACATGTCACACAAGAAAGGAGAAACGCAGAGAGCCTCTCCAGCTCAGTTAGAGCCTGGCTGAAGTCACAGGCGTCCCTCCTCCCACCAGGGCTTGCAGAAGGGGACAAGTGGGGAGTCTGGGTTGACTACAGGACGTAGTCTTAGGATCTCCCATCCAGAATGCCATTAGTTCATCAAATCCCCCTACCTCCATTTTGAAAACTAGAAACTACAACCCCAGAGTCCAACAACCTGCTTGAAGGTATAGAGCTAGAGAGGTTGGGGTCCCCGGATAGTGAAGGTGGTCTTCAGATGGCAGCAGAGAACAGGGACAGGGACAATGTGGGAGAAGGACTCATAGAGGAGAGCCACGGAGGCAGCAGATGCACCTCCAGGAGCTCCCTTACCGGAAGACAAAGTCGGCACTGTTGATCTCCTTCCCACAGCCACTGTTCTTCAAGATGCCTCCGTTGCCCACCACGGCGCACTTCTTAAACTGAGATCGGTAGTAGGGCATTTCCTGTAGAGGCACATACACGGTGTCACAGCCAGTGCCCCCCACACACACACACTTCATCTGAGGTTTCACCCCTGCCCCCAAAAATATCCCCTCTGTGAGCGCTACCTGCCGAGGCAGCCTTGTCTGACCTGTGAGAAAAGGGGAACTCTACCTGCAGATGAGGAGGGAGCAAAAGAGACTCCTGCATTGGGTGACCCCTCGCATTTCTGTCTGCAGGCCTGCTATGACGCCAGCACCCACCAGCCAACCAATCGCTGAGGGTACCACATTGCACCAAGAATTAGCCTCAATCAGAAGGAGCTGTCGTGGCCCTCTGTGATGCACTTGAATCTGTGACTCGCTTTCCCTGCGGGGACAGGTCCAGGGGACCAGGACAGGGAGAGCACTGGGGTCTCAAAGTCAATGGGGAGAGAAACGGAACGAGCCACAGTAGTCTTAGGAAAAGTCATTGAGGGTTTCTTGTGTTTCCCATGAGTGTGTCCTAAACAGGTGCAAATCAAGAACTTTCTGGAAACAGTCCTTCCTAGGCTCCCTCCAATAGCCACAGAAACAGAATCTCTGGGTGGGCAAGGGGCCGGAAAGCTGGCCATTTAAAACCCCAGAGACATTGCTATGTTATGGGAGGGCTGGAGAGTCATGGCCATGGGCCACATCTGGTCTACCGCCTGTTTTCGTATGGCCAGCAATCTGAGAATAACATTTATATTTTTAAACGGTCTGAAGCCATTCAAATAAGATACATGACGTGTGAAAGCTACATTCACTTTCCGAGGCTGGTGCCACTAAGACGAAGCCTCCCTCTTTAGTTTACTCGTGACAGTGACTACTCTCGTGACCACTGTCATGACCACTGCTGCGCTGGGACCGTGGTGGCAAGTAGTGATGGTGATGATGTCACCTACAAGGCTACTTACTATCTGGTCCTTTCCAGAGAAAGGGGTGGAGACCCTACTGTATCTCCTGACCTCAGCAATTCATGCCCTGGCTCTCCGAGGACCTGCAAGCCAGCCCAGGCTACGTCACATGCTGCTGTGACCTGCTTAAGATGAAAGTTTACCTGCCACACCTTGCAAGGCTCAGCTAGTGAAGGTGACTCAACCCACTGCGCTGTGACTTCAGCTCATTCCCTGAGCTCAAGTCTTACTTGATCACTCTGGTACCAGCAATAAGATAGACACCCAGAGAGACTCTGTTTTCATCCTGCTAGCACCTCCCCGGACCCACTAAAACATGCAGGGCACCCCAGAGCTCTCCTTCCAGAACATAAGCGTGAACACACCCTTGCCACCCGCCTCTCTGCTGAAGTCACAGCACCTCAGCATCACAGAACCATCTGACCCAGACAAAAATATAATTCTGCATCCCTTTCTCCAAGAGTTCAGAACTTGGAGCTAGCTATCAGCCTCGGCGATCTGAAGGGGCCATAGATGTGGACCCCCCCAAGGGCAGAGAGCAACTATGCTATAACTGACCAGCCCACCTCCAGACAACATCTCTGATATCATAGATGTATTATTAGTAGTTAATGGCTGCTAGGGAGGGAGAGACATTTTCTTCAGCAACCTCAATAAAACCCATTGCGTTACAGAGAAAAAAGGGATGAGAAGAGGCTCATTGGAAAAGACAAGGGGCATGGGAAGGGAATAAGAGAAGGTGGTGGTAGAAGTGGTGGGAATATGGCCAAAATACATTACAGCCATGCATGAAAATGGCATAATAAAATCAATCATTATGTGTAACTATTAAATGCTAAGAAGAGGCATTCTTACACAATGATCCTAAGGTTATCTGATGTGGCTGACATTCAGGCCTGGCTCTGTCCTGGGCCTGCTTTCTGGTGTTCATACGCTTTGAATGGTTTTTCTCTTGTGCCTGCCTTGACTGAGTGATCAAGATATATATAATTAATCCCTCTTCTAGATAGCTGTGGAATGTCATCAGCACGCAAGGACAGAGGCAGAACTTTAACCTATTTTTGCCCCCAAATCATACAAGCCATAGTTAGCTGGCTCCCTCCCAGACCACCATGTCGGGGACATACCTTGGGAAACATTTGGAAGATCTCCTGATTGATGTGGAAGAAGCCGCTGGATACCACCTCATACCTGAGATTTGTCTCAATAGGAGTGTTCTTCTGAGTGGTGAAGAGAAAGCCAGGGGCGTTGCAGCACTTGGACAAGGTGGACCTGCTGGGCATGGAGACGGGGGTGACACTGGGCAGAGCAGAGAGGGGCCCCTTCCTTTGCATTCCATTCCCAGACTCACTTCCCCCCACCCCCAGCATCCTCCTAGCACCTGGAGCTCTCTGTCTCTTTAGGGCCCAGGTTCGCTGCCTATTGGAAAGCTCCGGCAGCCATACTTCCATGATAGCTCTTGTCTTTGAAGGTTATGGCACATGCTAATCACATGCTAACCCCCGGCTGTTAGTTCCTGCTACAGAAGCAGCCTGCCTCACAATTCAGTTATACCATCTAGCCTTCCTACCGCCAGCTCTGCGACATGTGCACCCCTGAAAAGTGTTCGCCAGGCACAGCTTGATCTCTTGCTTATCTTGCCTCTCTTCTTCCTGTTGTCTCTTCCCCACTCCCCATCTGTCTGTCTGTCTGTCTGTCTGCCTCTCTCATGTCCCCACTCCAACATGGCCTTTCACTCTCTCCCTCCCACCTCCCCCAATAAACCTTTGGCGCTAACTCTGTTGTTCATGGCACGTTTACTTAGTGGCATATCTTGGCAGGGACTGCCCAAAGGTACCCACCTCACCTTTTCTTTTCTTTTTTTCATTACACCTGCCTTCTCAGGCTGGAAGGAAACCAGGTACCAGACCCTACACCTCTATGAACCTCACATGCATGGTACTCATCACAGGCTTGTTCAAACCACCTTCTGCTAGCCACATCCGCCAGGCCTTGACTGACGCCCACTCACCAAAAGCAAGACACTCCCGCAAAGTTCACTGTTCCAGGACATGTACTTCTCTCTCTCCCTCTCCCTCTCTCTCTCTCTCTCTCTCTCTCTCTCTCTCTCTCTCCCTCTCTCATCCAGCAACCTGAAGCCAGAGCTCTCTAAGGTCTCAGCCTCTATGACCAACACCTAACAAAGATCTCCCCCTTATCACACAAAACCAAGGTCTGTATGGTCACCCAAAGTGCCATGTTTGTCTGTCAGAAGCTGACTTAGGGCAAGGGCAGGCCCAGCCTGGGGACACTAGGTTGGTACCAGATGCCTTCCTGCAGAGGGTGGAACATGACTCCTGAAAAATGCTCCAGGAATTCAATATAGAAAGAAAAGAAGGAGGGAGGAAGGAAGGAGAAAGAGTCCTGACATTTTGGTCTCAGTAACACTCAAGGCTGAGCTGCAGAGGGATTAAACCACAGATACCAGATTTAAGTGGGGGATGGGGGGGAGAGCCCGAGGGAAAGGGGGCTGCTGAAGCAACCTGTTTTTCTCTCTTCTCCAGGACTTTCCAAGCAGACTTTCAAAGGGTTAGGTCCTGGGCAATTTTGCCCCCTGCCTTGGAAACTAATGGGCTCTGACGTGGCCATGAGCACAGATCACCACCTTCTTGAGTTACCCTGGAGTATACACAGCTCCAGGCTCAGTCCCCTGCATTGTCCAGGGAGCCCTGGGGAATGGACCTCCTTCTCCACGAGCCTTGTGATGACACCTACACACACACACACACACACCCACACCAGCCTGAGCTACTTGTGACAGCCCCAACCTTGTAAGGCTAGGGCAAGGACCACAGCAAAGCATGGGGCTGCTAGCTGACCAGGTGCTGGCCTTGCCACTTGCTCACATCCCTAAGGCCCTTAGGGCCAGCTCTAGACAGATGCCCACTGAGAACCAGGTGTTACAGGTGATAGATATGTGAAGAGGTGGCAGTGAGGACCCACACCATGAGGAGGGAAGGCAGACGGCAAGGCATACTTGAACAGGTTGGCTTCAGAGGTGTCCATTGCCCAGTTGCATATCTGGAGGCGCTTCCACCTGTCAAACAGTTCAGACTGCTTCACCCTGTGGGAGCAGTGGGCAGAGAGCAGATAAGAAGGTCAGGTTGCACCACGTGTCACCCCTGTTTCCAAAAACCCTCCTTTCCCCTTCCCCTGTACGCCATATCAGCTGTCGGTGTGTTATTTCCCTGTGTGCCATATCAGCCCTTGGTATGTTACTCCCTCTGTGTGCCATACCAGCGGTCGATGTGTTACTTTCCTTACTCTTGATGTGAGGGCAATTCCAAGGCAAGCACAGAAACCCAGGGTAAGCTCCAGGGTTATTCTGTCTCTGCCTCTATGCACTGGGATTGCAAGTGTGTGCATGGTGGTGCTGAAACTGCCTCCGTTAAGGACCCCTTTCAGATCCAGAGTTCTGAACCTGTGAGTTCCGAAAGGCTCCCATCCAGGACCCCAAGCAGGGATGCATTGCCTAGCCCTAAGCAAGAGAATTCCTGGCCTGCCTGGGCCAGGGTGCAAGGTACACTCTGTCCTGCATTTCCAGTGTTTGTGAGACTCAGTGAAAATAAAGCTCCACGGTCCAGTATCTCTGGAAAGTAATGTGTGCAATATTCCTATCTTGAAAAGAAACAATATAGGAGAACCTATTAAATGATCCAGGGAATCTCAGGGTAAAAGAAAGTATTAGACTTTAACTCAGCTTTTCCAAATACATTTGCTCATAAATTGGGATTAAAAATATTTTAAAATTGGGTTAAACTGTAGGGAAGTCTCATTTTTATAGAAGTCTCATGTGGCATCACATTGTGCTAGAGTTCCACGGGACATACTTCGGGAAGCTGTTCCCCTTGTACATATTCTTCTCTCGTTTGATCTGCCTCTGTGCCCCACTCACAAAGGGCGAACACTGCAGAAATGTAAAGAATCTCAACCGCCTGGTGACCATAAGAAGAATCTCTTAGGTGGTGACAAGGGCTGGAATAGCTCACTCCACACATGCAGACACAGGAGCTCGGGAGTGACTTGTCCCTAGTGGCATAGCCTGGGAATGGGGAACATGTTAACTGCAAAGGGAAGAAATAACTAAGAAGAGGGGAAGGCGATAGGGACAGGGCAGAACGTGGGTGGCACAGAGGGCTTGGCCTTCAACGTTAGACACTGTCTAAGGTGAAGAAGGTGAGGCGGGAGGAGGTGGTGGCTGTTGTTGATGTATGGTTTGTTTTCTATTGCTATGATATAGACTGGACAAAAGCAGCTTGGGGAGGAAAGGGTTCAATTCATCTTACAGTTCCGGGGAACAGTACATCACTGTGGGAAAACAAGGCAGAAACTCAAGGCAGGAGCTGATGCAGAGGCCATGGAAGGGTGCTGCTTACTGGCTGCTCTCTGTGGCTTGCTCAGCCTGCTCCCTTATACCATCCAGTACCCCCTGCCCAGGAGAGGCACTACCCACTGTGAGCTGGGCCCTCCCACATCAATCATCAATTAAGAAGCTATCCCACAGACTTGCCCACACGTCAGTCTCATGGAGGTGTTTTCTCAGCTGAGGTTCCCTCTTTTCAGATGACCCTACCTTGTGTCAACTTGACAAAAACTAACAAGCAAATGCATACAGGTGGTACTGATATCCCAGGATGTGGACGTGACTTGGGGCAGTGGGAGGGAGCTCTCAACAGATTGGGTTCAAGCTGTCCCTCCAAAAATCCAACAAAGTAGGATTGGAAAGACAGGAAGAGAGTTTAATAAATATGGCCCAGGTTAATTGTACTGGGGAAGTGGAAGACGTCAGTATCTCAGCATGTCCTTGGAGTTCTGACACGGGCTACCATCTAAACAGAGGAAGAACTGAGGTCGGTTGAGAGGTTTGAATGATTGAGCAATCTCTGTGAACTCAGGGCTGGCTGATCATTGCCTCAGTTCTGGTCCTACTTGTCATGGATTGTGGGAGCATCCTGATGTTTTTCAGATGATTGAAGCTGTTTAGAGGGATAGCCCTGGTTCCCCTCCTAAGGAGATTGGTCTCCAAGGCTCTGCTGTTTTGGAATCCAAGGTGATTGTGGATTTATGGCAGTGACTGGGACCTGCTGGATCTGTCTCAAGGCAGTCTGGGACAGAATGCCATAAAGTTTGGGCAGAGGAGATGGCTCAGTCAGCCATGCTCCTGCCTTGCAAACACACAGAGTACTAGCTTGTAAAAAGCCAGATGTGATGGAAGGTGGGAAGTGGCTAGCCCCCAGGATCACAGGGTTCACCTCTACGTTTAACAGAAACTAGGGACGTTTGTCCCCAAACATGACCAATCACTCACTGCCTACAGGGAGGACACAGGTAAGTGGAGGAAGGACAAACAGACGATGGAATCCAAGGAATTTGGTCTGAGGTGAAGTTCAGACACTTCCTAACCACAGGATGCCACACCAGGTATTAACTCTCCGACCCTCAGTTTTATCTATGAATTGGACTTCATGGATTTTTTTAAAATTAATTTATTTTTATTTTATGTATATGAGTGTTTTGTCTACATATATGTATATGCACTACATAGTGGCAAGGCCAGAAGAGGGTGCTGGAATTCTTGGAACTAGAGTTAAAGACTATTGTAAACCTCCATGTGGCTGCTGGGAACTAAACCCAGGTCCTCTACAAGACCAGCCAGTACTCTTAGCCACTGATCCGTCTCTCCAGCCCCTTGCAGACTTTAAAAATCATTAAATAAGATGACACAAGAACTGGGCAGGCGCACAGCACACAGGCAGGAGACATAGGTTATTGTTATTGTTGAGCCAATTTGACTAGGCTCTCCGCCAGTCCCTGGACTTTTTGCAAAGCCTGCACACCCTCATTCCACACCCTTGATAGTTCTCCCTATAGGATAAATACCAGAGGGCAGGAATGGTCTGAGTTCCTCACTAACTCAGCAGGTACTGGAAAGACTGTGCTGAGTATAACAACAGACTAAGGAGTTCGTTAACGAGTCTGAGTCTAAATCCAGTCTATTAATAAATAGACTCTACATGGCCAGGCGTGCAAACACCACATCTCCCTACGTGCATGGAGATCCCAGAACAACAACAAAGACATGCTGGAAAGAAATACAGGCTGCCTTGTCTGGGAACAGCAAAGGCTAGGAAGAAAAATAGAGAAGTGAAGGCCACATCGTTAGTCAGAAGCCTTCTCGAGGAGGTGTGCCTTGCACAGGATCTTGAAATAATGTAGATGTGGGTCATGTGACTATCTGGGGGCAGTGTAGCTCAGTCAGAGTGAGTACCAAGGCCCTGAGGCAGGAGCATGCTTGATAGTTAAAGACAGAAGCCCTCTCCTCCCGCAGAAAGCAAGCTAACAGCACCCTGGCTCACCCACTGCTCCTCCCCCTCAGCCCATAGGACATGAGAGAACAGGTGTTACCACACAACAGCACCCCAGCTCACCCACAGTCCCTCCCCTTACCTCCCCGCAATCACAGCCCCCTAGCGCAGGATCCACAACTGCCTCAAACACTTCAGAGAAACACAGCGCTGCCAACACTCCAGGCCGCGGGACCAAAGTTTGTCTGTTCTCAGCATCCAGATCCTATTCTGGGTGTTTCCAATGCCTTTGTCACATCCTGGATCAAGGTCAGGGCTAGACACCCAGCCTGGAGTCCTGGCTGCATCCCCAACTCATAGTGTGACCTGGGTAAGTCATTTAATCTCTCAGGAGACTCTGTTTGTCTGTGAGGTCGCCCTTGGACCCTCGGCCATGCCCATCTCAAAGGTTGTTCGAGAGAACAAATGGAGTCACACATATAAAGTGCACTGTAGGATGCTGTTCTGATTCAGAGCCATCTTCACCTTAAAGATGATGGGTTGACCCAAACCACCTCTCCCTTCTCTTGTGGCATCACTGTCATTCCAGAAGAGAAACAAAGTCATTCAAACTTGCCAGGATGAAGAATGACAGGGAGGTGTGTCTCTGTGGAAGAGGACTCTCAACAGGTCCACAGAAAGGGGGGGCTGAGTCAAGGACAGGATGACAAAGTCCCCCCCCAAAAAAATTCTAAAGCCAGGAGCAGTGGGCAGGGGCATGGCCCTAAAAGAGTATCGGTTGTAAGTGACCATGAGCCATCAAGGCGGTGCTTGAGCTCAATGTGAGAGGGTATGCCTAGCCTGTGTGAGGTCTCGGGGTAGACCTCCCTCCACCTTCAGGAGTGAAGGGAAAGCAAAACAGAGAGGCAAAACCATCCAGTCTCATCCACACACTGAAACTTCTCCAACCAAATATGAAGGGAGAAAAGTGGGGAAACTGGACAACCCTTCCTTTCTAAGGCCCATAGCACTCCCAGTTAAAGACGCAAGCACTCTGCAGCATGTCTCAAGCATCTTCAGACACGGAACCCCTACCAGCTTCTAAATGTTTTCAGAATGAATATGAACATGTGGCCAAGGGTAACTAAATCTATCTGGAGGAGGCAGAACAAGATGAATTTCCCGGTAAAATGACCACAAAGAAACCACTGCAAAACAAGAGGCTGAAAAGACATCCTTGATGCCCCCAAAGATATCCAGGACAAGGCCACATCCCTGAGAGCGAGGCAAGGATTCTCTAAGAACAAAGCGGAGGCTCTGGAGAGAGAGTGCACAGGAAGAGCAGGTAGGTGGCATTAAGGAATTTTACCAGGATAGAGATGCAAAGGGCAAACAGAGAAAGGATAAATTTAAAAGATGCAGGGAGAACCTGTCTCAAAGAAATACAGGTCGGGGGGTAATCGAAGAAAACATCAGAAATCCATCTTCACACTCAGAGACATAAAGAGAGAAAGAGAGGGGAGAGAAGGAGGAGGAGGAGAGGGAGGGAGGGAGGGAGAGAGAGAGATCATTTAGACATGAAGGACCCAAACCCTCCCCTCTCACCCACTGCTTTCTGAGACTCGACTTGAGAATGGATAGAAGTACGGAGGAAATGTGGATCATTTCTGCGTTCTTGAAAGGCAGAGGGAATTTTAACAGCCTTTGAGGTGCAGGGTCTGGAAATACTGCCTGTAGCTGATAGGAAACCCATCCACGGAAGAGCTAGAGCTAAGCTTGG